ACTTAATCTGGGCAATGATTAAGTGTCCTCTTGTCCCGTCAACAGTACTTTTACTTGCATATACTATTGTGCTGCCATATAAAAGAAAAATATTGAAGATATTCTATATTTTATATATAGGTTTATGTATTGTTGGGGATGTTTATGCTGTACTGTTTTGGACAGAATAAAAGAATTGTGTTTTGAGGCAAAAAAAAAGGGGAAAAAAAAAAGAAAAAAAAGTATGTGTGTGTGGGGGGAGGGTAAAGCAAGAAATTCATGGAACCTTCTTTTTTTAATCTTTTTTTATTTTTTATTATTTATTTATTTACTTATTTATTTATTTTCATTCCATGGAATCTTCTTAAAGGGCAAAGGAATTTATTAGGGGACAAAATTCACTGCACAGAACAGAATTGTTGCAGGTTCTGGAATGCTGTTCTGGCCGCCTGAGTCAGTACTGCATCCAAGCCCAGGAGGGAGAGAAGGGAGAGCCTACATGCATCTTAGGTCACAAGGGTAGCCCTGAGCCATGCCTTAGGGGCAGGTACGTCAAGGTCATAGGTAGGAAGGGCAGTGACCTGCTACATCTGTAGGGGCGGTGCTTCAAGGTCCTGGGTAGAACAGCAGTCCACGACAGGAGGAGTACAACATGCAATGGTAAGAGGTTTCAATGGCCAAAACTTGAACAATTTGAGCAATAAATTGTCTCGGCTGATAAATGATTTATTTGTTCATAGTAACTTAAATAAACTAATGAAAATATTGATAAAAACAGCTATATTTGTCTAGAGGAATTGTAAATGAATATTGTGTAGTGTCTCAGATCTCCAGGAGAGGACTCATACTCTACTCCTTCAAAGCGGACAGTCTTCCTCCCAAAGGGGAAGAGAATAGCTTTGATGATAGTACAACACTCTTCTGATGATTCCAGCGTATCAAAGGGAACATCAGCAGTTGTCAATCATGTTGAAAGAACGTGTGCCCTTGATATGTGATGAAAATTTCGTTTTATATTTGTAAGCTTCTCCAAAATCCCCAGCCCCAGCTTAAACTCCAACGACAACAACAACAACAAAACAAAACAAAACAAAACCCTCCAAAAACCCAGAAAGTATGTAATGGAGCCATGTCCTACAAAATACCTAGCCAGCAATTTTCAGAACTGTCAGTGTCATTAAAACAGCTGAAGTCTGAACCAATGGTCACAGCCAAGAGGAGGCCAAGGACACATACTAACTAAAAACATTGTGGCTTTTTAGATTTTTCTGAGGTATAAAAGAATGTTATGCAAAAACTGAGACTATCTGAAAGAACCATGTGACCCTAGTAGCAGAGTGCTATAAGACACTGACTGAAGCAAATGTACAATGGTAACATACAAAGTCAATCACAGCCCAGACTAGGTGTGTGGGGAGCAGGGGGAGGATGGAGAGACAGAGAGAGGCAGAGGGAGAGACAGAGACAGATATAGAGAGGGAGAGAGACAGAGACAGAGACAGAGATGCACACAGAGAGGCAGATAGATTTGCTTGACTGAATCCAACAAGTTTTGTTGTTTTGGAAGGCCCAGCATTATCTGATCTGTGTTCTTTCTTTCTTTCTTTTTTTTTTTTCTGTTCTTCGAGACAGGGTTTCTCTGTAGTTTTGGTGCCTCTCGCTCTGTAGACCAGGCTGGCCTTGAACTCATAGAGATCTGCCTGGCTCTGCCTCCTGAGTGCTGGGATCAAAGGCATGTGCCACTGCGCCCAGCTTGATCTGTGTTCTTATTTACAAAGGTATAGTATTAGCAACTAGAGGTAAAATGTGGTCTTGGCATGATGGATATATTTGAATGAAGCCAGAGACTCCATCTGTCTGAAGGTCAGCACTTAAAAAGCAAATAGATTTTGAGCAAAAATGTCAAAGTAATTCAATGTGGGAAATACAGTTTTTAAACAATCAGAGCTGCAGCAACTATGGTGGTCTGAATGAAGCGCTCTTAGGAGGTGTGGCCTTCTGCGAAAAAGTGTGTCACTGGAGGTGGACTCTGGGGTTTTCATAAGCTCAAGCCAGGCCCAGTGTCTCTCTCTTCCTGCTGCCTGTGGATTCAGAAGCAGAACTCTCAGCTACCTCAGCTGCACCATGTCCACCATGCTTCCTGCCATGATGATCATGGACTAAACCTTTGAACTGTAAGCCAACCCCACTTCCAGTGTTTCCCTTTATAAGAGTTGTTGTGGTCATGGTGTCTCTTCATAGCAATAGAAACCCTAACTAAGACAGCAACTGAATACCTCTTGGGGAAAATTACCTTAATCTCTCTTATTTTTAAAATTCATTTGATTTTTTTAAAAAATTTCTCAAGATGGTTTCACAAGGCAGCCCAGGTTAGCCTTGAATTTGAGATGCCCCTGCCTTGCTCTCCTGAGTGCTGTGACCAAAGGCTTGTGCCCCACGCCTGGCTCGCCCTACCTCTTGTTTTATTTACCCTTCCATAAACATTTATTTTTCTAACTTAAGCACTAAACCTATAAAACATCAAAGTGTACAACGAGGGGTGTTGTGGGGTTAGCCTTAGATATGTGACTTCTCAGCCAAAATTTACTAGGCTGGGACACTTGATATAGTCCACTGACAGACCTACTGAGTCCTCAGACAACCCTGTCGGGCTTGTGACACTAATTGGCCTCATTTTTGAGATAAGAGACCAAGTTTAGGAAGGTTGTTTGCCTGAGTGATAACAGCAAGTGTGGCGGATGCTGTTGGTGTCTCTGCCACGATTGCAGCGGACCGCCCCGAGAAAGCTGAGGTGCTGCCACTGTCTCCACGACATGTCCTGTGCTCGTGTCTTTTTCTCACTCTGAACCATCTCCAAGGCTGCAGGAGCCGGTGTGTCTTTATTGGAAGTGCAATCCGAAAGTGTGGGAGAGTCAGTCCTGACAGTAGTGACCCTCAAGAGGGAGAGGAGCTGTGGGTCGGGTTTTCCAGCATCCTTCCCTTCAGACAGACATATTTAGATGTACTCAATTCAGTGTTTAGAGTTATGGTCCGAGTCAGTCTTGCTGCCTACAGCACCATCTTGCCCTATAAATGGCCGTTCTCACCTGCGTCTTTCTTCCTGCTGTTGAGATCATTTCTTCGAGAAATCACTAGTTCCAGTAGGAGTGTCTAGTCACTGGTCAGATGGCAATGAAGGCGGTAAGTAGATGGTGACAGCCACTGGCAGGCTGTGCTGTGACCATTTCCAAGAACCACACTTGCACTGAAATGGGATGATGGGGGCAAACCCAGAACAGTTAGATTCTGTGGTAGTTTTGAATTTGACTGGTTGGGACAAATGTATTGCTACATACTGACCTGTATGTAATCCAAAGTTATCTCGTTTTTGATAATTGTCTCAGAAATCTTGAAGAAAAAGAATTCAGGCAAGACCAGCCAACTATTGGGAAATGCCAGGAAGCCGGAGAGGTTCCAAGGCATACCTAGTGTCATGTGTTGCAGACTGTGTTTAAAATAAAACTCATACTGCAAGCTTGGAAGTGGCAGGACCACACAAGGCTAATTTGCAGGTCACTCACTCATGCTAAAGCCAGAACCATGAAATGAAGGAGTCCCTTGGACCCAGAGTAGGGTATCTTTTGAGATTATCTTAGCAATGTAAACCGTTTGGTTGTCTAGAATCTTCCAGGCCAGCGAAGGAGCTCTCTCCTGCCAGGGAACAGCTGACCTTTGGAAAACAACTCATCTGAGATACCTTCATGGGCTAATGCTTGTCTTCCTAAGAAGACTTACTGTTCTTACCTCTTATTGCCTCTAGAGCAGCGGTTTGCAACCTGTGAGTGGCCACCATAGAATACGTATTTCTGATGGTCTGAGGAAGAGAGACACTGCTTAGTAGCAAAATTACAGTTATGAAGTAGCAGTGAAATAAATTTATAGTTGGTACTTTTGCCTGCATTTATGTCTGTGTATTACACAAACAGTGCCTACTTTTGACCAGCTTTTGATCCCCTGGAACCGGAGTTACAGACCACTGCTAACCATCATGTGGAAGTGGGGAATTGAACCTGGGTCCTCTGGAAGAGCCAGTGCTCTTAACTGATGAGCTACCTCTCCAGTCCCAAGGGGGAGCAGTCTTGAGGATGTTAGATGGAGGACAGGATAATCACTGGCACAGAAATATTCTCTTTCAAATCAGGGTTGAACACCTTGGAAGAATACCTAGGAATGACATGCTATACATGCTCCTTGGCTTTTTTTCTTGTGTGTGTGTGTGTGTGTGTGTGTGTGTGTGTGTGTGTGTGTGTGTGTGTGTGTGTGAATTTGTAGCTACACATGCATGCATACATGGAGTGCCATCTAGAGTGCTGTTCTCAGGAATATTGTCTACCTCCTTTGAGAATGGTCTTTCATTGAACTGGAACTCACCAATTAAGCCAGACTGGCCGACCAATGAGCTCCAGAGATTCTCCTGTCTGTGCCTCTCCCATGCTGGGATGGCGAGCACATTCCGCCGTGTTCAACACTCACATGCACTCTGGGGACAGAACTTGTGCTTACAAGTCTGTTTTTACTTTTTACCAACTGAGTCATCTCCCTCATCCCCTCTTTCTAGTTTTAATTTGAAGATTCTCACTTGTGCACCTAGACCAGATTTGTGCCCTTGGAGACTATGGGAAGTTCTTTACTAGTGCCCTTAAGCTACGACTGTTTATTGCACATTGAACTGACTTAAGGAGAGGATGATGGTCCCTGAAGAAGAATGAATGTTCCAGTTCTCTCCTAGAAGGTCATGCGTATTAGCAAAATGATCTAAGCACACTCTCAAAACATAAGCATGATTGTTATCTATGGGTTTTGGAGGCGTGCGATGGTTTGGCGTCTCAACTGAGCCAACTGAATTGATCTTCGGTGTGAGAGTTCAGTTACCTCAAAGAGTTACTGACTTTTAGAGAGTCGTATCAGAGTGGAAGGCTGATATCTGTGGGATGAGGTGCACCTATGTATGATCTTTGCGTTTAGCAACATTACAACGCCAGTTAAGATAGTCAAAGTATTTTAAATAACTTTATTCTTAAATTTAACAAGCTCTTATTAGAAATGCTTTGGTATCAATACAATAAAAATATACTGGTTCTCCCGACCCACTGAGTCATGTCAAGTAACTGGAAAAGTTAGCATTTGTTTTCCCCAGCTTTGGGGGGCATTTTTTCCACAAATAATGACTACTATTTATTTATGTGGCTTACTATAGGTATAATTATATATATATATATATATTTGGACTTTAGGAAAAAGAAATAAAAGTATTCAGAAAAGAAATTTTCAGGCATTTCTTGGCTGCTTCTCCGAAGGTTCCTCAGGTGGGCACTACAGCTCAGATTACCTTTTTCCCCAGTTTTGCCATCCTTATCCTTAAAGCTGTAAATTAAAGTAAAAAAAAAAGCAAGTTATAAAAGAATCATAATTTTTACTCTGAATGACCATTTCATAGAAGGCAGGAAAGTTGAGAACATACCTCAGATGGTTTTATCCAACAGCGTGAGCATTGTTTTAGTAGCATAAAAAGATAGTAGAAATAATGAGCTCTGGTTAACTTAGGGCAGGGGTAGGTTGAGAACTAGGAGGAACCTACGTCTACAAAGGTCAAGAAAGTGAGCAGAGAGAACACAGTACAGGTGGATGTTACATATTTTCACGATCAGCCTAGATACATATTCCTTTACATCAGTTTTGTGCATATCCTTAACTATGTACCATTGAACCAAAAAGATACTAATACTTAAACTATACTTAGTGATTAGATCTTCAAAAAAAATCTCATTAAACTTGGTTGTCCAAAGGCTCTCTGACCTTTGGATGTGCAATGACAAGAATAAATTTATGTATGAAACAATGTGAACTAATAGTTAAGCATTAATGTGGAATTATGTTTTCGAATGGCAGGTGTATCTTTGCATATGCTCTACTGCTGAAGAAGTGTTGGCTGTAGAAAACGTTTATAAAATTGTAGGTGTGGAATTTATAATACTCCTTTGGTGTTCTGGTCTCACGCCTTAATATTTAGGGCCTTTGAGCAGAGCTGTCTCAATCATGTTCCAAAAGTTGAAAGATGCTTTCAAGGCACTGAGCAAGTGATTGTATTAATTACGTAATATTACATTCATGTGTAAAATGGCCCAAGAAGCAGCCATTTAACTAATTGCACAATTTTGTTTTAATGAAACAATAAAAGGGAAGACATGTTTTTTTTTCCCATCTCTATGTCACACATTATTACCTATTAACCAAAGAAATGATCCTATCTCTAAGAGGCTTTTTACAAAAACCTAAGAAGAGATGGGGACCTGCTACTGTTTTGAGGTCATTTTCATATGTCTGTGACATAGTTTCATTTCAAGGAAAGTAAAAAGCATTGTTTTTTTCCCTTGGAAGAGAAGAGGAATGATCACTTCTAACGGCAAGACCAAGAATATTCCTTTGACTTCAGGATGTGTTGAGAGAATTTCCTTTGCTCAGTCAGCAGGATGGGCTCTGTTGCTGGGAGCTGCTGGGTGGTGACCTCTGAGGAGCAAGCAGCCCGAAGTCCCACAGCAGAACAGGCAGCAGGCAAGGCTTCAGGAAGGGCTGCTCTTGGGTTTTGTGGCCCCTTGCATTACCAGTGCCGGGAGAGAGCAGGGATAAGGGATTGTTTAAAGGTCTGTTTTAAGGCAGGGACAAAAATCCTCTTCCCTATAGGTACGTCTCATCTTGCGAGTCTGGAAATAGAGACCACCCTGTGTCCCAGGACCTGCAGTGAAGTCAGCTAGCACCAGCATTCCCTTTTCCAAGCCTGTGGCAATAGCCCTAACTGCAGCTGGAGGTGTGTGCAAGGAGCGGCTCCCCAAACACTGTCCCATTGGTTCTCTTGCCCCTCTTTCCTGCTCTTGTCTGAATCCCAGTCCTGTTTCCCTACAGCCACACAGACAGACACTTTTAGCTGTTTAAACTTGGTGGAAGAGAGATTTGTGGTTCACCCTCCGTCTTCTTCCTTGACCTCTACTGGCGGTTTCTGAATCGATGGTGTGTGAGGGCTCCAGAGCTAAGGTTTTTCTACCTCTTCATCCCAAAGTGCCATTGACATCTCTAAGACCATAGAATATTGAGCTGGAACAAGACTAGGTGTGTGAGGTCTACTGAAGAAAGCTTAGCTGTCTAGTTGCTGTCGTTGGGGTTAGTGGGATCTCATGGAAAGCTTTTGGAAGCCACACAATAGTGAGTGCGTCTGGACCATATCAAGTAGATAGACATAAGATTACCTAAGTTTTTCTGTCATGTTTAACAGTGTTCAAATTTTTACTAAAATATACTGTTTTTAGACTATCCACATTGGCAAGTTTTCATCTTTCTTCCATCTACATATAGTTTTTCCAGTTAAAAACTGCGTGTGTGTGTGTGTGTGTGTGTGTGTGTGTGTGTGTGTGTGTGTGTGTGTGTGATGCATGCACTGGTGTGTACAGGAGGCCAAAGCAGGACCTCAGGTGTCTGCCTCTATCACTCCATGCCTTGTTGCCTTGGGACAGGGTCCCTCCCTGAATCAGAAATCACAGTTTTGGCTAGGCTGGGTGGCCAGCAGGGTCCTGGGATCTGCCTGCCTCTGCTGCAGTGGTGGGGTTCAGGCATGCGCACCCGTGGCCGGCTTTTTCCGTGGGTGGATGGAACCAAACTCATGCCCTTATTTTATAGACCAAGTGCTCTTACCCACTGAACTATCTTCCCATCCCCACGAATTGCTTTTGAGACAAGATTTTGATAACTATATGTATAACAAGTGAAAAGATAATTCCTTATTATTGTATCTACCAGAGCTATTAGCATTTAATAGGATATTTGTACTTTAATAATGGAATTGACTTAATTGTGGGTTTTTAAGTATTGTATCATTTCTCTCTGTGTGTATGGATGTGTGTGTGTAATGTTGAAAGCACAATGTAAAACGTACTTGTGAAATTGAAGTACATAGGTAGCTATGTTCTTAATGTATGTAGATGGTCCTTGAAAGCATAATATGATTGACTTTTGTAAAACTCACCCATACTAAACACCTCCACTCTAATCCATGTGATGATTTGGAAGGCCGAGACGTAAAACAACGTCACAATGAAATGTAAGGAATCTGGAGCATTCTCTTTACGAGATATTTAGTTTGCTAGTACAAGACTTTGTATTGTTACTTTGTCTGGCATAAGTTTTCCTAATTTTAGTTCAGTAGCATGGTTAGTGTTGTCTGTAAATGTTAGTCACTTCCTGTCATTTTTCTAGGGGTAAATGTTAATGTGTTTAGGGGAGAAGGAGTAAGGGTGTTTGGGAGGAGCTGGCTAATATCCAAGATCAAAAAGGGAGTTTTTGCTTTTGTTTTTTACAGTGGTTCATGTCTTTGTAACTGACCATAAAATAGGGCGTTCCTTTTCTCTATGCCTCATGCATTGTTTTAAGAATGAATTTCAAAGGAAACATTTGACTGTAAACAAAGCTCATTCTCTAAATGGAAAGGAACTTACTATCTGCAGCTTTCCATTGTGGGGAACATTACTCCACAGTCTGAGGAAGATATATGAGTGGACACTTCTCAAGAGGGGAGGAATTCTTCAGATGATTAAACTCACAATGGGTTCACCTAATTCAAGGATTTAGAAGAATGGAAGAATGTCCCTATTACTGTGTTGTTAGCAACACAAGATTGAGTTTATGGTTTGATGAGGAAGAAACATCTTGAATTTCTGCCACGCTTCTATAAAACTATCAAGTTATACTCACTGGGCTGTCTGCTACTGAGTAGTTATTGCTTTTTAATGATCATTCTTCAATTAGCAACATTTAAAATTACTTTCCATTTTTAACATTTAGAACCTGTGTATTTGTGTAATTTGACTTAGATTTTTAGCTAGGGTTTGCTCAGTTATTCTAATTGTTTTTGTCATTTGCTATATTCGAGCGATAACAAGGAATTTAAAATTGAGGAGCTGTCGGTTTGTAGAAAAAGTGTTACAGTTACTTTTCATTCAATGTTGAGATAGCTAAAGAGATACAAAGCTATAAAAACTTCATAGAGAATGAGAAATGTAGCTATATAGAAAATAGAAAAAATAAATCTGCTAAGTTGGAGAAGACCATGAAAAGTTGAGTCATAGATAATGCAAGATAAAATGTCATTCTATGTTTAAAGTGTAGAAAATTAAAGAACCAAAGTTAATAAAATAAAAGTATAGAGAAAGGAGATATAGCTGAGTAATAAAATGAGAAGAAAATAGTACATGTTCTCTATTTCTTTGCAAAATTAAGGCTACTTGTTAACTTATGAATAAAGTGTAAGTCACAGGAGGCACAGGCAAGTAGTCATCATTGGATTCTGCTGGGAAAAGTATGCTTCTGATGATCAGGACGTTAATTAGCATCCCCAGTTATTCACATATGGTATTGCTCCCTCACAGAAGACACATTTCCAGTAACTAAGGGCGGTCAATGCAATATTAAAACAAAGCAAGACACAGTTTTCACTTTCGTTATTTTTGAAGTGACTTACTTTGCTCTGATGATAATTCAGCGTTATTAAAAGCTGTCAGCGCATATTAGTTTATGAGGTGGTCATAGAAGCTGAAAGTCAGAATGCTCATTAACACAGAGAAGACTGTCACATGAGTAAACAGCAGTGGCATGCCTTGTCATTTTTATTACCTGTTAAGGATGGATCCTCAGTCCCATCTCCAGCCATTGGAACACCCAGGGGAGAGTGGCCGGCAGGGCTGCCTAAGCGTTCCTCTTGCTCTTTCAGAGATATGGAATTTTTGTGGGGAGATTTATGGTTTGTGTTTTCATGAGGACTAACTTCCGATCTCTTTCTAGGAAGTGGGGTTGGTTTGGTTGGCTGGTAAACTTGACTACAGGGAGCTACGGGATGGTAGGATGGCTTCTCAGCTTGTCCGTCATCCTCCTCCTCCCCCTCGTCATCAATCACGACCAGCTCAGCATGGATGACCCCGTCATACCCTGTCAAAAGCTTCTTTTCCTCTTCATTATCATCTGCCTGCTGGTACCCCATGAAAATCATCGTTACGGGTTCTGTGTTGTCCACATCAGAAGGCAGAGAATGAACGATGTTGTATCTTACATCTTCAGCCTCCTCCTGGCAAGTGGGTGAAGAACCCTGGGGTCCTGACTTCCCAGGGCTTGCTCTGCGGGGGCTCAGTCCCGTCCTCGGAGAAATCTCATGTTCGCTCTGCCCCATGTTCGACTCTTCCCAAGGAGTCACCATCCTCTTTTGCCGGGTGTGGACCATCTCTTCTGCGGGCTGAACCGATGCTCGCGGCTGAGGTATTGGCCGAGTCGGGCTGGTGTGAGGGGCCCCATTGCTTCTCCCCTCTGAAAGCGCATCGTTAGTATTGTGCATGGGTTCATTTGCATGGTTACCCAGTCCGTTAGCTTTCATCATTATCCTTTCTTGAAAGTTTGGTCCAGGGCTTACTCTCTCTCTTTGCGGGGTCACAGGCCTGCAAAACGGATTGGCATACACGGGCTCATGGTACTCCGTGGGTGACTTAGAGTTCCTCTCTGAGGCTTGTCTCAGGAGATCCTCCACTTCCACCGGTGCGAGGCCGTCGGTGCCGTTGTAGCTTGTGTTCTGATCGGAGCTGACTGCGTAGACTGACTTCTGCCCATCGTCGTAGACCTTTATTCCTGCGCTTTTAAAGTCATCTGATGGGAGGGGGATTGAAGATAGAACAACGCTTTCTCCAGTCTTCAAGTCTTTTTCAACTTTAATTTCCATGGCATACAAAGCTGTTAGAAGACAAGTTTAATACAAATTTGAGTACTGGCTTTCTCTTATAAACTAGTCTGTTTGCTTTTACATCCTTTGGTGGTCTTTTGTGTGGCATTTAGAAACTTCTAACCCAGCAGTGGTGGCACACACCTTTAATCCCAGCATTCGGAAAGGCAGAGGCAGGTGAATCTCGGTGAGTTAGAGGCTAGCCTGGCCTACAGAGAGAGTTCCGGTACAGCTAGGGCTGCACAGAGAAACCCTGTCTCAAACAAAGCAAAGCAAAATAACTGCCCCCAAACCGCCAAACCCCTTCTGATTTGGATGCTGGAGAGATGGCTCTACAAGAAGGCCAGAGCTACATCCCCAGCACCCAGGCTAGGAGGCTCACAACCTCCTGTAACTCCATCTCCAAGGGATGTGATGCCCGCTGGCCCCCAGCAGACCTGTAGGCACACACACATATATGCATAAGAATACATACATAATCCCCCCCCCCCTGGTTAGTTCTATAACAACCAACCATGTAGCCACATGGTATCCTGGGAAATGTAGAATTTTGGAAAAATGATTTGGAGGAGTGAGGAAGAGAATAGATCCACGTAGCTGGCACTTTCACAGAGAACCAAAAGATATCCTTTTCCAGTTAATAAAAGTGACCAGCCAGACTTAGACTCTTTTGTTTATTTATTAATCTAATCTCTGCCTTCTTTACCTTGGGAGAACAGTCACACTGTGGGCTGCAGCGGGTTAAACACCCAGCAGGGTAATTCGTTGTCAGATCCCTGCGGCAAGCTCAGCTGCCTACGGAAACTGTAAAGTGCGCTGAGGCCTTCACAGTATAGGGAATGCTTAGATGTGCCACTGTACCCAAAGAAGTTAGAAGCCTAGAGTCCCATTTTTCTCTCTCTTTTAAAATAAAAAAAAAATGTTTTATTTTATGTGCATGGGTGTTTTGCCTGCACGTATGTCTGTGCACCACGTGTACGTCTGGTGCCCAAGGACACCGGAAAAAGGCACCAGACCACCTGGAACAGGAGTTATAGATGTTTGTGAGCTGCCATGTGGCTGCTGGGAATTGAACCTGGGTCCTCTGCAAGAGCAGCAGGTGCTCTTAATCACCAAGTCTCCTCTCTAGCTACCTCCCTTTTATCCTCCTAATTTAAGACCACTTTCAAGCAGATGAAGGGCTTAAAGTAGAGCAGTCACAACTGTACTGAGACAACTGGAGGTGACTGGTGAATGGCGGGGGGAGCCGACGTCTGTCTCGTGAGCCAGGCAGGAGCCCCGCGGATGGAATTTTAACAGGGGAAGGGAACAGCATTCTTTGTAGAACTCGGATGTGTCAGTCCTTGCTCTTGGTATGTCTTCCTATTTTCCTTCAGCTCATCTTACATTTCTTGTGTCCTCTGTTGCCTGACGTGCCGCAGCTCTCCCTGGGTACCCAATTAAACCTGCAAGATCTCCACCCATCTCCCCCCTGCCTCACATCTCTACCTCCTTCTTCAGCATTGTACTCCCTGAACGTTTGATTTAGTGAAGACCTACCATGTGCCTAAGTGAGCTTGGTGTAGAGTAGTTATTCATGAAATATCTGTTGTGTGAATAAGTGACTGCTACCTGCAGACAGAGAGTAGCTTCTTTTTCAATTCTAAAATTCCAAGTTCTCCTCTTTGGCGGAGCCTTCATTTCCCAGGGACTTTAAAAAATTAGCTTTATGAAAATCGTTATCCCACGAAGATAAATAAGGCCCAGCCTTTCCAAGGGGACATTTTCACTTAAAAATGTTTTTAGTAACTCAACATCTACTGGATGAAATTTTTGAGCAGAGAGGCTTTGACGCATTGCTTGCCTGTTTCAGACCTTATCTTACTTGTTCCTACCTAAACTTTACCCTCCTTATCCCTAACTGTGCAAGTCCTGGAACTGTCCCGTAGCCCTAGGAACTTTGTAAAATCGACCTTAAATTGCCTAAACTGGAAACACAAGCAAACTGTGAAGACTTAATATAAAATCTAAAATTGAGGACCAGGGACATGGCTCAGTGGGAAGAAATTTGCTACCCAATGACTTTAGTTCAACACCTGGAACCCAACACACACACACACACAAAAGGCAGATGTGATGGTATGCACCTGTCCATAGGTGAGACAGGATGCAGAGACAGGAGAATTGGCTTGAAACTCATGTGTCAGCTAGCCTGCAGGATGCTGCACATTGGCAGACACAAGAGAAATCCTGCCTCAGACAAGGGAGGAGGAGAGAACTGACTCCTGAAAATTGTCCTCTGACCTCTATGTGAATGCCATGGCACGTGCGCATCCACACTCAGCACACACTGAAATTGAGAACATGGCATTGAATGTTGGTTCACAAATACCTTTTCTGTTCTGTTCATCATCATCTTGTCCTTCGTTTCTTTCCTTTCTTAATCTGGAAGGTATGTAGGAACTTGGAAGGTCAGGGATGTTAGCATAGATGTCCTCAATTGACTCTGTAAAGTTGATATGAATTCAAAATACATGTAAGATATTTCTAATAGTGAAACAAGGCCAGTGATCTTACAAAAATTACCTTGCTTCGACATGGAACAGGTTGCTTAAAGACATACCTTCTGGGATTTCTTCCTTTTCCACTTTCACAGACTGTAAGATAAAAGATTTCCATGATGAACTTAGTTAAAAAAAAATCTAAATCTAGAAATGCTTTGAAGAAATGGCTTTTGTGGGTTCTTTTGAGAGGGCATCATTGTTTAAAACTGAGTCACACTCACTCTTATTATGTCTTCAGTAGTCCTCTCGATCGATTTTAGCTTCTTTAGAATTGCCTCTTCATTGGCTGAGATTTGCAGTTCAGCCCTTTCAAGGTCTTGGATCTCTTTCTCAAGCCTGACAGTAAAAAGGATACATTTCTTAATGTTTAATGTGGTATACATGCAGGGGTCTCAGATGCATCTTTCTCACATGCAGATTTAGGAGCCAGACATCTTCCAAACGTGTGGCATCCTGTGGAGCATCATGGTTTTACACCAAGTATCACATCTAACACATTGAAGGTTCCAGACACTTGAACAACTTCCAATCCAAGTCTGCTTACTTTTATTTTGTTATTTTTAACATAAGGACTTTTCAGGTAGAAAGGTTGGGCATGTCTGTGAGGGGTTTTCCAGGGAGACTTAACTGAGATGAGGAGACCCACCATACCAAGGACTGAGGACCCAGACTGAACAGAGATAGAAAAAGGAAAGCTAACTTGGCATGAACATTCCTCTCTCTCTGTTGGCAATGTGATCAGCTGCTACATGTTGCTCCTGGTGCCATGCCCTCCCTGCCATGATGGACTGTATCTCCTCAAACCATGGGTCCCAATGTAGATGGAGTTTTCCTTCCCAGCCACCCAGTCCCAAATAACTGATTCAGAGGCTGAATACGAATTATAAATGCTCAGCTGATAGCTCAGGCCTGTTACTAGCTAACTCTTACATTTTAAGTTAACCCATATTACTTATTTATACTCTGCCATGTGGCAGTATCTTTATTAGCATGGCACATTCATCTCCTGCTCTTTCTGCATCTGTCTGGTGACTCCTGACCCTGCCCTTCTCCTTCTCAACATCCTTAGTTTGGTCACCCCACCTATACTTCCTGCCTGGCTACTGGCCAATCAGCATTTTATTAAGCCAGTGTGAGTGACAAATCTTTACAGTGTACGAGAGGATTATCCCACAACATCTCCGTACATCTTCTCTGCTTTAAGTTGCTCCTTTGTCACGGCGATGAGAAGACTAACTAGCACAATAGTGAAGTATTCGGCTTTGGCTTTATTTTCTATGCTGCAATGAGTAATGTTGCTTCCATATAAACCAGAATAGTTTATTTTGTAAAGAGACTTTTTTTTTCTAAAGATTTATTTGTTTCTTATGTATACAGTGTTCTGTCTGCCTGTATGCCTGCAGGCCAGAAGAGGGCACCAGATCTCATTACAGATGGTCATGAGCCACCATTTGGTTGCTGGGCATTGAACTCAGGACCCCTGGAAGAACAGTCAGAGCTCTTAACCTCTGAGCCATCTCTCCAGCCCCCCATAAAGAGACTTTTTTTTTTTTTTTTTGGTTTTTCGAGACAGGGTTTCTCTGTGTAGCTTTGCGCCTTTCCTGGAACTCACTTTGGAGACCAGGCTGGCCTTGAACTCACAAAGATCCGCCTGGCTCTGCCTCCCGAGTGCTGGGATTAAAGGCGTGCGCCACCACCGCCCGGCAATAAAGAGACTTTTTAAGCCAAATGTGGCAGCACAGAGGTGATTATAGCACTCAGGAGGCTGAGGCAGGAAGAGTGAGGGTTTGAGGTTAGCCTGAGCTACAAACAACGTTGTTTCAAAATGAGAGATAGTGGGTAGGAAGGAGAGAGAGAGGGAGGGAGGGAGGGAAAGAGAGATTAACTCAAAGAAATGGTACATTTGTAGTTGCATGGTCATTTAGATTTTTTTTTTACTTAACTCTCCATATATTTAGAAAAATAGCTATTATTATTAAATTTGACTTAATAATCATAGATATTTAATGAATAAATTCCTAGCCTTTTTTTTCTTTTTTAAGACAGGGTCTTATTATGTAGCTGTCACTGTACTGCTGTACTGGAATTCACTGTGTAGACCAAGCTGGCCTAGGACTTACAGAGATCCTCCTGTCTCAGCCTCCCGAATGCTAGGATTAAAGGAGTGGTCCACCACACCTGACCTTAACATATTCTACAACAAAAATTACGTTGTTTTAAGCTCCTTGAGCACTGTGCTATTTTCCAGGTAGAGTGAAGAGATGGAAAAACGGACAAAATCCCACTTCTGTTATAGAGACTACATATTCTGTGGTGTGATAGTGGATGGGGGGGCCCAGGGGGGTGGCAGGGAGTAGATACGTATAGCCCGATAATGCATAAGGGAATTAGAAAGACAAAGAGACATGGAAGTGGAGGCTTTTCTCTGTCAACACCAACCTGCAGAATTCCCACATCAGAGACACATTTTAAAATGGACTGTTACACATACCCTGAATTCATAACCAGCATTCAGACGAACCCCAGGATGTGCCATCATGACCTCTGTGTGGTGCCATGGACCCTGGCAGCTGCAGTTACTAAGGCTGGCCCTTAAGCCATGAAACACGTGTAGTCTTAGCCAGACACTCTGAACTCGAAAGTCAGCTGCCTCAGAGGATGGCTGATTTGATGTAGCAGCTGGTCCAAGAGATGACAGCTGTGGATATTCATGTCAGCTAACATAACTGTCAGTTCTCTTGGCGTCCTTCTTAAAGATGGCCATGGGCCTGGCTGCTCCAGAATCTTGGGCTATTGTCACACCAATAAGAATCCCAGGATGTGATTGTCTTGGCCTTTCTATTCATTGCTTTAACTCTAGGTTCTGATATTGATGCTGCCTCTGGGCATCTGTAGGCCATTTATAGATGAGAAGGTTTCCCTGCACATCAGAGAACTTTAAGTGAATTATAGTACCCCTGGTTTTTTAGGAGTTGCCAGGAGATTCCCGCCATTCAAAAAAAAATTCCTTAGGTCTCTGGTAGCATTTTCCCATCAGCAGAAATATAAAATATGTGCTAAGTTATGAAATGTGTGTTGGTCCAGTCTGGTAGAGTGGAAAACTAAAAGTGATAGCTTTTGCTACATGTTGTAGTCAATTTCTTAAACCTCTTCAAGGCTCAGTTTTGTAATGTGCATAATGAAAATAACAATGCTTGCCGTGTTTTGTTCCGGTGCTAGGTGGTAGGGCAGAAGATAAGAATGCATGCCAGTTGAACATGGCAGGCGGCAGGCATAAGCTTATTCAGGAGCGAATTCTCAAGGCTTTCCACAACACATTCTACCTTTGTCTCCTTTCTTTGTCCACCAAAGATTTGTCTTCCTAACATCTGTGTTAGACATGGTGTATAAAGGGGAACCTGGGTAGAAATGAAGGAGGTTCAAATGACTACAGCTCCTGAATTTCAGGACTCAGCTGTGGAATGAAAGAAATTTAGCTTGAATTCTGCCTCATCTGCCAACTTCCTGTGGTACCTGAGACTGATCGCTGAGACTAATCATTGCTTACGCATCACTTACGCACCCACATAGGAATGTTTATTTAGCATCTTCATTGTACCAGGAACTCTTCTATCATGGTGATATTCTAGTGATATGATAGTGAAGAATGGAGAAGTTGACGTTCTAGCAGGGACAATATATTAGTACACAGGCTGGCAGGGTTGTTCTGTGAAAGACTTGATGCAAATGTCAACATACAGTTTGTGTTATTCCTTCATTCATTTCCCCCTTATTTCTGCTGTATAACCCTTTAATTTTATATGTGTGTGTGTGTGTGTGTGTGTGTGTGTGTGTGCATGTGTGTGTACCATTCCTATTTTGTGTTCATAAAAATATGGGTCAGAGTTATATGGATTCTAGGCCATAGTTTGCCAGCCCCTGCATTAACAAGTGTATGTGTGCATGCATGTATGCGTGTTTGTGTACGGGTACACACACCTACTTTCTTATATACATATATGTATATTTATTATATGTGTATATAAGCACATATATTTATGTGTGAAGAAAAATATTTCCGTGAAAAAAGAACAGGATAATTGATTACTAGGATTCAAGGCCCACATCGTCCAGGAAAGTCTCTTTAAACAAATATTATGGCCGGGCAGTGGTGGCACATGCCTTTAATCCCAGCACTCGGGAGGCAGAGCCAGGCGGATCTCTGTGAGTTCAAGGCCAGCCTGGGCTACCAAGTGAGTTCCAGGAAAGGCGCAAAGCTACACAGAGAAACCCTGTCTTGAAAAACAAAACAAAGCAAACATATAAACAAATATTATTTGTGAAAGTAAGTGGGGGCGGGGCATAAAAATATGTTCCCCAGAGAGCAGGGTACCTGAAAATCTTGAGGCAAGAGCTGAAAGAGTAAAGAAGAAAGAGCTGACAAATGAGGGGAGATGACAGGTAGTAGTAAAGAACCTTGGACACAGGTAGGTTTGTGGACCGGAGGGTCAATTGCCATATCACTCTCAAAAGCTGAGCACGGTCAGGCCTGTTTACTACTCGGATGGGCGACCACACTGGAGAGGCAAATATGGAGATCAATTGTCAATAGTCTGGAGGAAGATGACCTAATCTAAGGTGGTTGCTGCTAGAAGGGCGAGAAATGGAGGGGTTCTGGAAATATTTAAAAGAGAGAGAGATTCCAGAGTTTGTTGATGATTATAGAGTACAGGTGTGTGGGGGGAGATGAGGTGAAGGATGCCGTTGTTAGGACCCGAGTAACTGGGAAACCACAAATGTAACTGGGAGATGAAGGCAGGAGGCAGGTGGCCTTGGTTAAATCTCAGACAGTCAAGTGTGGTGTGGAAGTGATGGAGTCTGGGCTTGAAGACATGAATTTGGAAGGAGTAAGCATGCATAGCCGTATGCATGGGTAAGATTTCCTAGAAAGTAAAAGTGATAGACAAAAATCTCCAAGCTTGAGACCTGCAGGATGGTGTGAAGGTGCTTGCTGCCAAGCCCTGTCAACTGAGTTCAATCCTTAGGGCCCGTATGGTGGAAGGAGAGAATTGACTCCTTCAGGCTGTCCTCTGACCTCCACAGGCATACTGTGGCACATGTAGATGCCTGTCACTCCCTCACAAGTAAATAAGAATGTATTTTTTTGAATATCAAGATTGATAGAGGCCTGGCCAATGTTAACTACTCATCAGGGCTTAACTAAGAAACAAAAGACGTAGAGTGCACAGCAGGTCCTGCTTCCTGTCTCTGCCCCTTTCTGATTAGCTCTTAGTCTGCCTGGCCAGTGTCGTCTTGATGAATTATGATGTGCACTGGTATCGGGTATTGTTTCCCTC